ATATGTCACAATCCAGAGATCAACTCCACATTCATGCATATCAGCAGGAAAAGCTTAGGTAACCCAAGCATGGAATCACTGATTCGGAAAAGGGGAAATCTGGTGATTACCCGACTTGTAGACACTCTTGCAGGCAAAATAATTCATCATCTTCTTATTCCTTCTTTTGTACACAATCTGCAAAAAAAATACGAATGGTTTGAACAAAACACTCTAGAAACAAAGATTCTCGACTGACTATAATTAGATTAACTAAAATCCAGTACCTACAAGAATGAAAAATTCAGAAACACATATAATTCAGAATTATTGCGACGGCCAAATTATACACACCTCTGATTTAACATTCATTTTAAATTTGTAAGAACCGAATATTATTGTAAAACCTAACCTTCAGAATTCCTCAAAGGTCGAGAAAGTGAACACGGATCGCAAGTAAATCCCCCAAGTCGCTGCTTAGATTTCACAGAAGGATTATCGAATCAGAATGCTCTAACTCATGCGATTGAGGAACACCGGATTTGCTCAATTCATCTACATCTCTTATCCGCCAATGATCTCTCTTTCATTAGCAGCATCACCTTCCTCATGGAACTGATCGATTTGATTCGGACTGAAATAGAAAAGGACATAAAAGGTGCCATGAGATCCGATAAGAGAAGGCTTAAGAATATATGGCCCAAGGTAAAGCTTGAGAATTAAATAGAAAACTAAGAATCCGATGAGATTATTTGTGAAAAGAAGTCGTGAAAGCAATAAATATCAGCATAGTTAACGAAGCATCAAATATTGTTGAAGAAGATAAAAATAAAAATTGATTATTAAATTATAATAACTTTTTTTTTAGGATGATGTGTCAATTAGAGGGATGCTGATGTGTCAGATCCTTGTGAGACTCAACTGAGTCTTTATATAATAGATATGTAAACTGTCTTAAGGGCCTTTGTTAATCAAACCATGCGGATAATTTGTTATAATATAGTAGAGATTGTAGTAATATATATATATATATATATTGTTAATTAAGTTTTACAGGATAAATATATTATGCATAGAAAAGCATAAAATAATATATATAAATAGATAATAACCCGCAAGGTGAAATAATTATTATCTATCAAAACTCAAGAATATTTTTGTAAATTAAAAATTTGTGTAAAATCACCTAGTAAAAAAATAACTTGTATTATATGATAAGAAATAAAAAAATGACAATTTTTTTTTGGAGCAAATACATGACAAAAATATAAATCATATTTGTTATGCGAAACTTAAAAATTACATAGTTCTCATTCAATTCTGTCACTTTAAAGCACACATCACAATATTAATGTTAGTAAACCACCAATACTTATCTAGTCAAGATTTCCATACACAACAAACTTGATTTCATTTTGCATAATAATTATATAGATAATAAATTATATGTTGGAAATATAATGTATAATATAACAAAATACTAATTTTAAGATGTAATAACTTATACTGATATAAGTTAAAATATAAGTTTGCCCAGCTTATACATTGTTTTTACTCTAAATAAATTTTAAATAATAATGACTTATTAAAAGATAGTATAACTACCGTTTATACTTGAAATTATTCAATATATATATATATATATATTTAAATTAATAAAACAAAATTTTATTGATAGATTAGTAATCATTAATATTATTTAAATCTAAATTAAATTAGTCATTGCACTATAAATTAAATTACTTGTATTGATTTATATCAAACACAATAAATTGCATTTTGATTAAAATTACTAATAAATTCAATTAGCTCATAATTATATTATATTAAATATTAAATATTTTTTTATCATATATTAAACTTTGGAAAAAGGTCTAAACTATTGAATTATTTTTAATTAACTAATTAGATCTAAATTTAGTACTGATTAAATTGGCTGTTTATTTACCAGATATCAAATTTAATAGATGCTTTTTTAGTAAAACAAATTAAAGAGAAAATGATTTAATAGATAAAAATATGATTCAATAATTAGTTAATTTATAAAGCGTTATGATAACAATAAGTTTTGTTTTATTATTAAAACTGAAAAATATAAATGATTATATGATTTTAATATTATTTTAGGAATATAATTTTATAATTAGATTAATCTGTAAAGACCAGTCATAAAAATATCAGCTTTTAAAAAAAGAAAATTATTTTAAATTTTATGTCTAAATACTAAATTTACATAGAAATTATGTAAAAGTAAATTACTTTTTTAAATTTAATATTGTTAATAAATTTTCCAAAATTATTTATAATTGAGCCTATATTTATAAACTATTAACTTTTTCATCTAAGATAAATATTTTTTATATCAAATAGTTTGATTAAATTATTATATAATATATTAACAAAAAAAAAATTTTAATCAAGTTATTTATTTGTATAAAATTTATAATATTTTTACTTTCTTAACAAAATTAAAATATTTATAATATTATATTCTTTCAATATATTTAAATATATTTTATATTTTGACCTTTTCATATAATATTTTAAACTTTTTATTATATTTAAGTATTTGTATTATTTAATTAATTTATATGATTCTATTAAAAACTATACGAAACCAAAAATATATTAATATGAATGTCAATTAAATCAAGCTTCGTAGTTTTGCAGAATAAATTATCATTTACGTTTTTTCTAATAATTTATGAATCATCTATTGATTTATCCATTTTTATTTCTACTGTAACACTTTTAAAACACAATTTTAAAACATACTTTATTTGTTAATAATTTGAGTTATTTAGTTTTATTTATAAAAATTTGAATTATAACATATGTACAAAAAAGTATATGGGTTTATATATTTAAAATATATACTATATAAATTACAAATTTAAAAATATAATAAAATGTAAATATGGGCAATTGCGGCGGCGAGATAAATTAACTCTAGCACACCCAAGGTGTTCGAATCAATGACCTGACGACCAACGTTACCCAGTTTAACCACCAAACCATACCACATTATTTACTTCTACCACCACAACTAATATATATATATATATATCATATAGAGGTTAAAATTTTAAAAATTAATCCTCATATAATCGCTGAGTAATCTTTGATCTTTATACTTATAAAGCACAAGTCAGTTGGCAATTGTGTGACTCACAAGTGTCTTTTAATATTTAAAATCAATTTATTTTTTTAATTTTTTCCAAAAATAATTCCTATATTCTTTTAACTAAAATTTATTAAAGAGAAAAAAAAATCTTTTAACTTCCTCAAAAATTGCTCCCATTATCTCCACTTCTCTCTACAACGAAAATACAAAACTGTCGACTATATTTATAATCAAAACCACTCCTAATTCTTTTAAATTATTTATCTTCAACTCTCTTCTCACTTATTTTCTTCAATATCAAATAATCGTAAAATATTCAACTTGTAAAAAACATCTTCACATACAACAAAGTTTTGAACATTATGGTCAAGGGAGAAGACGTTGCTTCCTGCATGACGGATAGAAAGCTTGTGTTTTACTATCACAACTAGATTCGATAACATTGTATACAAAATGAAACCAACTTTGCTTTAGGTTTAAAAGAGTGAACTATTCAAAGTTTGCTTTTCTCTCGATTTCTATGATCTTTTACCTCTTTTTTTGTTTTATAAATCTTAAGACTTAGTATTGGAAATTTACAAATATTTTATCTCAGTAAAAACTATTTTTAATAGTTTCTCTTTTAAACTTACTGTTTCTTCTTTCCTGTTTTCTATATTTGCTTTGCAATTTAATCATTATTACCTTAATATTTTCTATTTTACTATGCTTTTCCCGTACAAAGTACGGGAATAATCTTAGCTTTCTTATAACTCGCTAGGCGCACTATGACCGATCGATTAGCGAGTAACGAGTTTCCGAATAAAAATATTAATTATATTTTCTTATACCTTTTTTTAAATAACAGTTATATTTCATGAAATTAAGTTTTAATTTAATTGTAATATGTGTCAAAAATTTATCTATTAAATTGTCATATGTCACAATCATGTGAATTACTAATTTTGATGCATACTGTTTTATATAATAAGATATATGTATTGTGAATATAAATAGACTAATATGTGTTAAATATTTTGAACTTTTTTTTTTGAAAAATTGGATTGATTGCCTTGAACTCCCCTGACTTAAGAAACTTTGGATATTCCTCTTTATATTACACATTTGCGATTGTTAACAGTGATTTTTCGCTGTAAAAGTAATTTTCTCAAAAAAAAAATCTACCCACATTAAAAAAAAAATAGTTACTAACCAACAGTGTATATTGTATTGTGGTAACGATCTCAACCGTTGAAGAGAGTAAACTATCTCTGACGGTTGCTATCAATTTCTCTACTCCTAGCGCGATGCAGTGGATCGTAGCCCTCAAAAATTTTGAAATTCAAAACTTCGAAAAGTAAGGCCCAATTTAACAATTAGAAGGAGCTGGTCCGGTAACGGACGGAAAATCCTAATCTCCCTTGTCATCATCATATCATCTTTCTCTAAACTCATCGACCTTTACATCTTTTAACGGCTACATTTCGCTCTCTCTCCTCTCTCTACAGAAACTTCGATCTAGGTTTTCAAATTTGTCCTCTCTTTCGTAAATTTTCAAGAGTTTATCTGATCGATTTTCTTCCAATTCACTCTTACGGATTCACAGTGTGACGGATCAAACTTTCCAAATTATCAGTTCTGGAGAATCTCCGCGAAATCTCCAGTTTCAGGCAAGTGTTTTCTCTCATTCTCCTCCCCGAATTTGAGAACTCCTACTTCAATAATTTAAAATGGTTTGCTTCCGAATCTCGAAATCGATTACACATAGTTTGGGTGTCAATCGATTTCAACCTGAAAACAACGGTGTTCTAATTCTCATTGTTTGATTCGGAATTCGAATCCTTATTTCTTTCAATTTTAGCTGATTGAAATCTCCACAGTTTCCTTATTTGCTGTTTTCTGGAAATGATAATGTTAGGGTTCCTTTATTTTCCTCAACAGGCAGAAGCATTTCGAAATGGCAAGTGTGAAAAAAGATCCGATTCTTCAAGTAGAGACAACATGTGGATCTCTCCTATACGAACTCCAGGTGAGGAGATAAAAGAGTCTTTATTGTCTCTTCATATGATCTGTATCTATTCAAATTTTATGTGAAGTTCTGATGAGATCTTGATTTTGTTTTGTTCTCTTAAAATCAGATTATTTGGGATGAAGTTGGAGAAACGGAAACTGATAGAGATAAGATGTTGCTTGAGCTTGAACGTGAGTGCTTGGAAGTATACAGAAGAAAAGTTGACCAAGCTAATCGATGTAGAGCTCAGCTAAGACAAGCAATAGCTGATGCTGAAGCGGAACTAGCTGCTATATGTTCTGCAATGGGAGAACGTCCTGTGCATATTAGACAAGTGAGTCCAATGCTTTTGATGCGGAAACTCAGTCCATGTTTATGCATTTTTTCAACTTTTAACCCTTTTGTGTGTGTGTGTGTGTGTGTGTTTGAGTTAGTCTGATCAAAGCGTTGGGAGCTTGAAACAAGAGCTTGGGACGATTCTTCCTGAACTGGAAGAGATGCAAAAGAGGAAAATCGAAAGAAGGAACCAGTTCGTAGTTGTCCTTGACGAAATAGAGCATATCACTAATGATATTAGAGGTGAAGGAGAACATGTTGTTCACTCGAAACCATTCATTGATGAGACTGACTTGTCTATGAGAAAACTTGAAGAGTTACACTGTCAGCTTCAAGCACTTCAAAAGGAGAAGGTGAAGTTTGATTTGAACTTAGCTTCTTCTTTTTTGGTTTGGTTACTCCAAACATCTTCGTTTATTTACTCTTTGTGGTGTTGTTTCACTCAGAGTGATCGTGTGGAGACGATTCGGAAGCACCTTTGTTCTCTGTATTCTCATTGTTCTGTACTTGGAATGGACTTCAATGAGGTTGTTGGCCAAGTGAATCCCACATTAAGTGATCCAGAAGGGCCAAGAAGCTTAAGTGATCACACGATCGAGAAATTGGGGGCTGCTGTTCAAAAGCTGAGGGAGGTTAAGATACAGAGAATGCAGAAGGTAACTGATAAATAACTTTGGCGAGTTAAGTAGGAATTTTTACTTTGCTGTTGTTGCTCATAGTTGTTTATTGAATTTGATGAAGCTTCAAGATCTTGCAACAACCATGTTGGAGCTCTGGAATTTGATGGATACACCCATAGAAGAGCAGCAAGAGTATCAGCATATCACCTGCAACATAGCTGCATCAGAACATGAAATAACCGAAGCCAATAGTCTCTCTGAAGACTTCATCAAATACGTAAGCTGTTGAGAGATTTTCTCTATGATCAAGCTTATAAGTTTATGGAAGCTTTTTTGATGTCCATCTCTGTAAACCGTAACATGAGTTCCATTTCCATATATACAGGTTGAGGCAGAAGTTGTCCGACTGGACGAGGTAAAGGCAAGCAAAATGAAAGAGCTTGTCCTGAAGAAGAGATCAGAGCTAGAGGACATATGTAGGAAGACCCACTTGTTACCAGTTTCAGACACCGCTATAGATCAGACTATACTGGCGATTGAATCTGGTATTGTGGATGCCACGCTGGTCCTGGAGCATCTGGAGCAACACATTTCGAAGATCAAAGAGGAAGCTTTAAGCAGAAAGGAGATCCTAGAAAAGGTGGAGAAGTGGTTATCTGCTTGCGATGAAGAAAGCTGGCTTGAAGAATACAACAGGGTCAGACTCGGAATCACAGAAAAACCTTTTTTAAAATCACAATCTCTGTTACATTTTCTGATATTTTCTTGGTTTATTTTCCACTCTACAGGATGATAACCGATACAATGCTGGACGAGGAGCTCATCTTACTCTCAAACGTGCTGAGAAAGCTCGTAACCTTGTTAACAAACTTCCAGGTAAGTCACTCTTTTTTTGTTATCAATATATCATAAACTGTTTATGCTCTGAAGAGATTGTGAAGGTAAATAAATATAATTTCATGTTCAATTCATTCAGGAATGGTAGAAGCATTAGCCTCGAAGACAATAGTTTGGGAACAAGAGAAGGGAATTGAATTTCTCTATGATGGTGTATGAGTTTCCTTACAAAATCTCTTAATTGGTTTTCAATCTTATTCTTCTTTATCATATCATCGCTGACCATAAGTAAATACTCTTTCTTCTGTGTCTAGATCCGTTTGCTTTCTATGCTTGAGGAGTATAACATTCTCAGACAGGAAAGAGAAGAAGAACACCGTCGTCAACGGGTAAGTACAAAACTCTTCTTTTCTATTTTGTTACTATTGAACAAGATCATCCAACCTAATGTTGATGCAACTGTTTTCTAAAGGATCACAAGAAGCTTCAAGGACAGCTCATAGCAGAACAAGAGGCGCTTTACGGGTCAAAACCGAGCCCATCGAAACCTCTGGGTGGTAAAAAGGCTCCGAGAATGTCGACAGGTGGTGCAGCGACAACGAACCGTAGACTCTCCTTAGGAGCAGGAATGCATCAGACTCCTAAGCCTAACAAGAAACCAGATCAACGCCACAACGATGGAGCTTTATCAACTGGTAAATTCAAAACTTAACAATCAAAAATGTAATAATTGGTCATCATCATCATGAAAAATGAAATCTCATTCTCCTTGCAGGAAGAAGAGGGCTTGATATTGCAGGACTTCACACGAGAAAACAGTCGATGAATCCTTGTGAACAGTTACAATCTCCGTTAGTTCGCAAACCGTTCTCGCCCATTTCGACCACTGTGGTTGCATCAAAGGCCAACATAGCTACAACAATACAACAACAACTTCTCGCAACTCCTGTCAAGAACAACAACGGTGTGACGAATTTGGAAGAAGAAAAGATGATGATGATGATGATGCAAACGCCGAAGAATGTATCTGCGATGATCCCAATCCCATCGACACCAGCAACAGTCTCTGTCCCGATGCAAACCGCACCAACACCACTAAACAACAACAACAACAACGCAAGATTGATTCCAGAAAAGCCTGAGGTTGTTGAGTACTCGTTTGAGGAACGAAGACTCGCCTTTATGCTACAACAATCTAACTCGTTGATCTATGCTTGATTGATTCTATCTTTTGGTTTTAGTCTGGTTTTTTAAAAAACTCTCAAATTGAATGTGGTTTGGTTTGTAATGGTCAATTACACGATTGGCTTATTTTCTTTGAGTACATGTATGGTTGTCTTCGAGACTAACATGTAATTGAAAAGTCCCTTCGAGTCTCTCTAGTTACTAGTTACCTTCCGTTAAGTGGAAAAGTAATTAACCTAATTTGTAGTTGACGAGGAACAAGTAGCTCAAAACTAGAAACATCAATCTATGGTGGCATACACATTCGACAATGGATTACTCCTAATCATCAGTACACACTACATTCGACAATGGATTACTCCTAATCATCAGTACACACTACAAGTTCATGGCTATAAAAAGAGAAGCAAATTATGAAGCATATGTAGTTTTTTTTTCGATCAGTCAATCTCCATATCTAACTAAACTGAATGAGAACCACAGGTGTGATATAAAAAAATATTTTCTTTGTTAGTTTTTGAATTTTTAAAATTTTACACCATTTCCAATGATTTCCTATTTTTTAATTCTAAAAATAAAGTTTTTTTTTAAATAGAGAATTGATTTGCTGTAATGATTACCTTTCTTTTCTATTTTAAAAAAAAAAGAATACTCCAAATATATTTTATTTCTATCTAATTAATTTTCTTTTACATTTATATAAATTTTATCTATTTTTTATTAACAAAGGTTAAATACAATTACGATTTTATTAAAATTAAAAATCTGCCACACAAATAAAATTTGATTACATAACTAGTTATTAATATTATCAATTTATTTAAATATAAAAATAAATCATATAATTTTAGTTAGTTACAAAATAGAAACATTTCAATTTAAAAGAGTATTTTGTAAATTAAAACATTATGGTTTGAGTTTTTTTCTTCTATACTATTAGACTCTTCAGAAACCTTTCCAACTTAAACATTTAAACGTAAAATGTTCTAAACTATTTTCATCTATCTAATTTCACATATACAAGTCATAAAGTTTAAATCATGATCAATCATGTTTATGTAAAGAGTGAATTCTCACCCGATACAAAACCCGACCTTAATTATTTAAAATGAAAAACAAGATTCACCATCATATAAACGTGATTTGGATAAATTTGATCGAGATTTAAGATTTTTTCACATATGTGGAATTATATAGAAGAAAATAATTTGAGAGGTTTCATACTCAAAAGTTTAAGGACAAATTAAATGTATTTGACTATTAGTATAAATTTTTATGACTAAAAGTTTATATCTTATGATTTTTTCTTGCTAGATTTTGAGGATAAAAATATTATTATAAAAACTAGTTTGACCAAGTATTGTTAATTTGTGCTAATTCAGTAAAAAACAAAAATAACAAAATCTAAAAGCATCCAAAATGTGAAAAAAAGATAAAGAAAATTAGAAAAAGTGAAGAAAAAGAGGCTGCAGAAAAAATTAAGAAATAAGGAAGAATATTTTTTAATGACTTTTAAGACTGTTAGATATTTTAAAATCTAAAAGGTTTAATTAGTTTTTTTTTACTATCAAGACTGTCAAAAACCTTAAATTTTTTTACAGCCTCTCTACCAATCGCAACCTAAATTTGTTCAATCGCTTATTGTTTTATTTGAATAGTCTTTCACATTGTTCTCTCTCAGGCATCTTCACATAAGGGACTATTCTTATCTCTTCCAAATAATATTTTCTCATCTTGATTCACTTGCATATTTTGTTATCAACAATACCTTGTTGGTTTCCACTTCTCATATTATAATTCGATGTTTCTCTCATTTCAGCGATTTTATTCATCAACCTTGTCTTTTTTGAAGGGTTTGGGTCCATTTTGTAATCAATAAAATCAAAGTAAATGTTCATCTTTAATATTCATTGTTTAAGAGTGTCGATGCAAAAAACCCGATCATTCAAATAAGGAATGTGAACAATATTTTTACATAGTAAACACATCAAAATTTATATATAAACATATAAAAGTTTTCAAAATTTTGGAAAACTTTCAAAAAATTTATGAAAACAATTAAAGGTTAATGAATGTTAATAAGGGTTGAGTTCACAATTTTTCATATCCACCATTTGTCATTAGGATTTTTGGTTTCTTTTGTTATTTTTTTTGTTTTATATTTGCCGTTATTTAATTTGAATTAGCTATTTTCCATATATTTACTTATTTACTTATAATCAGCAAAAATTTTATTCAAAAAATTATCTATAAATAACAGAAATTTTTAAATAATATGAAGAGTTTGAAAACTTGTGTAGTGAAAATGATTATTTATACTGTTATTCCTGAATAAGACAATACTAGGATAATGGTTGACTTCGAGTAAGTATATTTTGTAGTTAAATTAATTTATAGAAATATAAATAATTTTTTTTTTAAAAAAAATATGACTGGATATTTTTTTATTAAAAAATCTAGATATCCAAACAGACAATTCAGATTATGTGACATATTTTTTTTATCCATTGAAATAAATTTAAAATTTCTAAACGAATAATTATTTAAAATAAATATATAAGACAAATATAAATCAAAACAGATTTTTTTTTCCAAATGGACAAGCTACATTGTTCTCTCTCACGGCTCTTGATGTAAAGGACTCATCAGCTCTTTGAAATCTTATTTTCTCATCCTCAATTCACTTGCATATCTTTTATTTATAATATTAGTTTTTATATTATAATCCAGCAATTTTCTCATATGCGTAATTTTATCAACTTCATCTTTTTTTTCTAAAAGAATTGATCCATTCTTCAATCAACGTAACTAGAGTAAATATGTACTTTGAATATTAATTGTTTAAGAGTTAGATGTGAAAAAAAAAACAATAACATTCAAATGATGAAGATGAACACTGTTTTACATGGAAAACATATCAAAGTTTGTATAAATATCTAAAACTTTTCAAAATTTTGTAAAAGTTTCAAAACTTTTGTACAAAAATTTATATGTTAATGCACATCAATGATGTTTAGTTAATTATGTTCATTATTTCTCATATTCGCTATTTCCCGTTTAAAGTTTAGATTTTTTGTGTTATATATTTTTCTTTTGCCATATTTTATATTATTTAATTTAGATTCAGTATTTCTCATTTAGGATTTAATTTTCTAAGATACATATATTTTATGGGAATTAATAAGTTAGTGATATTATCCAATATAATTTTCAACCCTAACTGTAATTGATTTGTAATATTGTTTCGTATGTATTTAGGTTTACGTATTCTTAGATGACATTTTTGATCAAATTTCAAATTTATTAATCTATAAAATTGAGCTTATCTACCAAATAAATAAAAATTAGAAAAATGACAACAAAACTAACAAATTTTCTTACAACGTATGAGAAAGTAATCACACGTTTCATATTTCAAACAATCAGCAAAAACAACTCTTAGTTTATACGAAAACATATAATTTTGTAAAAGAATATCTGATTTTGAATAATTTTATTAATGTATCATAAACTAAAAAAATCAGATAGATACCTTATGTTGTTAGATGATTTTTGTCTAAAATATTGCTTTAATTTATAAAAACTTTGATAAATTTATATACAATAATAATTATGTTTATGTTGTGTAATTACTTTTTATCTACTTTGTTTTAATAATAATGTTTTATATATATATATATATATACTTTGAATCATGAATTAAATAAAACTCTAACCTCGTAAACTCCAACCATCGTTATCAAACATAAACCTAATTTGTGAAAGGAAATCAAACAATATGTTGTTGCTCTAACTTGTCACAAATACTTGTCGCTCTGGCACCTCATTAACATCAACGGTAGATTTTCATACAGATAAGATGTAGATCTATAAATTCTGTTAGTGGTGTTTCTATGAATCTAGCAACCCAAAAAAAATCGGATATGTGTAGAGTTTATAGTAGATTTCCATGTAGAAAAGATTTTATACACTCATATAATTGTTATCTTTTTCTAATAGAATTGTTCTGGACAAAGTTCCGGGGTGTAGGAAAACTGAACCTCGTTAACAAACCTTTGTGTTCATTATTTTATGCTCTCTATATGTTTGTTATGCACTTCCCGTTAATCGAAAGTAGCTAGGGCCACGAATCTACTCTTATAAATAGTTCTATGCTTCATTGAGATAGAATGTTCACAATATTATTTATCTAACGCTTTCTTGAAAGATGTTATTGACGCAAATAAAACGAGTTAACTAAGATATTTCTGCAAGTGTCTCTATATATGGTTCTCAAATTTTAGCATACATTTGACACAATTTATATTACAAAACACAAACTAATCACACATTCACGCATAATAGATATCAATTGTTTATAATGTTGTATATAATGAGCAATATGCTCTAAGGAAATCCATATAATAAACTGCAGATGTGTTTATGTTTTCTAAAACTAATTTACTAGAAATAATCGAATACTTTCATTCGTCGGTTGGGACTAGTTAAAATCCAGCACACATATATTAACGAAATATCTTTAATGACTTGTTGAACCAATCGATCTATAGGTAATCATGTTGTTTATATATATTATTTTAGTAGGTACAAATATTCCATATAGAAAAAAATTCGTTGATATCCATTTGCGGTTCATCACCGATCATATGTACAATGTAACTTCATGTTTCTTGCAAAACAACTTGAGAAGTGTTCTGTTTTCGAGTAATTCAATATTGGTGTAACATAGAGAGTAATAGGAAGATGCAAAGAAAAATGATAACGAGAGGAAAGCCCCCTTTTAATTTGTTTTTTTTTTTTGTCTAAATATTTTTTTTTTTATTTACGAAAGTATCTACTTAATCTCCACCTTGAATTGAAATTTATTGTATTCATCCTAAATCTAAATTTATATCCGGATGAAGGAAAAAATCCATAATTTTGGTAGGAGATGTTGTATGGAAATTAAATTATTCGGAAGACTAAAGTTGTTCAACGTATATTTTTGGTTATAGTCAAAGTATATAGTAGACTGAAAAAAGGAAACAAATTCATTCTCTCAAATGACAGGTAAGAGATACATGTCTTTCTTCTTTTCTTTTTTGACCAATATATTTAATAAGATGGAAATTTCAAAAATCAAGTCCAATTGTTAATTAATTAAAATTTGCCCCTACTCATTTCATTAAAAACTAATTAAGCTTTTGCTGTATCCCAAATTCCAAGACTCTTAAAGGAGTGAATTTGTATACTTGAAGTTTTATAATCCTGCCACCTATCCAATATTTCCAAATTCACTTTTATTTTCTCATATTTCAATCTCTTTCCTTATTTTTTCATTTTAAAATCTATAAAAAGACCTCAAAATGAAATGTAATAAGCAGATATCTTCTCCCTTCAGATTTAATTATTTTTAAAGGTATATTTTATTTTTCTCTTTGCAATTTTCTTCTGAAAACCCTAATTTCTCAAATCTGTAAAGAATTTTCTCCCCTAAACTTAACCCACCCGTAGAAAAAAAAAAAAAATCCATTCTTTTTCTCTGGGTAATTATGGATGAGTTAGGGGAAATCCGTCTGAAATTAAAGTTCCGCCATGGAAGCTTTGATCTTTCTCTTCACTAAATTTTACTTACTTTCAACTTTGCAAAGACTTCATCTTTCTCTTTCCCCCTTTTTAAAAATTTTACTCTCTGAATCTTACGTCCTCTGGATCTTTCATCTCTCCCTCTCTTCTCTCTCTCTCTCTCTGTACTTTTAACTGAAAGCTTGAATCTGTCGTGATCACCAAGATTCGAAATTGTCTTGTTGAGTTGTCTACTTAATTTTCGGAATCTTTTTCTTTACAGAATATCCAGATGGAGGAGAGAGAAGGAATCAACGGAAACAGCAACCCCAACAACATCATCACTACCAGTTTCGGTCTGAAGCCACAACATGACGGTCCTCCTCCTCCTCCGGCTCCTGCTCCTGCTCCCGTTCCAGGTGGCATCGTCTTCCAAATGGACCCACCACGGTCCCAAAACCCTAATCCTTTTTCGGCGGGATTAGCCACCAACAACACCGTGGCATCCTCCTCCGCCGCTGTGGCTAAACCGTCCCAGAATGCTGCTTTGTCTCCACCTTTCAGCTTGACAATGCAGGTGCAGAATTCTTCTTCTCAGTTGAAGAAGAAGAGAGGGAGGCCGAGGAAGTATAATACCGATGGCACACGCAACGTGACGCCTCTCTCCCCGATGCCAATCTCCTCCTCGGTTCCTTTAGCGACGGAGTTTGCTCCTCAGAGGCGAGAGAGAGGGCGTGGAAGAGGAAGAGGAAGAAGAGGTGGAAGAGCAGTGCGTGGAAGAGGAGAGTCCAGCAACAGCAGCAATTGGCTTAAGAGGCCACAGACGGTCGAATTCGACAACACTCCTGCTCCTGCTCCTCCTGGTAATGTCACTGATCTTCACTGTTTTGGAATTTTGGAATCTCTGTACATTTTTGGTCTCTGTAAGAATCATTACATGGCCTATTTGATTGGATCTTATATTATATGCCGTTATTGGATCTGTTTTGTCTTTGGTTTGACTTGCAATAAAGTTGGAATAAGGACAAAGGCTTTTGTTCTTAGTGAATCTGAAAGATGATATTAGGAAAATGCCTAGAAGAAGAATGCAATTTAGGGATTCTTTGATGAGAGTGACAGAATCATATAGATTTTGTAGTAATGGTCTTAGTTAGTTGCATAATGATTTTGCAATTTATCCATGTGGCAATTACAAGTCAAGATTTTCATCCCTGAATTTGATCTTAATTGTTATTGATTTGATCTTTACTTTGCAGTTGTAGCAACTCCAGAAGTTCCCAAAGAATGTTTGATCCCTCATGTGCTCATAGTGAACGCCGGTGAGGTATGTCCTCGATAATTCTCTCTTTAACTTGTAAATTTACTGAATAATTTGTGAGGTAAAAACGATTCACCAAGCTTTATTAATCTTTGAGTCTTGACTCAAGTCCCTGAGATGTCTTAACTCTCTTTTGGTCACATGGGTTTATTGTTAACAGGATGTGACAATGAAGATAATGGCATTATCTCAACATGGCACTCGTGCTATTTGCATTCTTTCAGCAAATGGTCCCATTTCCAATGTTACCCTTGTCAATTCGACATCATCTGGTGGTACTCTCACTTATGAGGTCTGCTCTCTCACTCTTCACGCTATTTTAGATCATTTTGTTTTTTTTACTAAATTTAGTTGAACAATATGTGGTCAGGGTCATTATGAGATTCTTTCTTTGAGTGGTTCGTTTGTACCAAGTGAGAGTGGAGGAACCCGAAGCAGATCTGGTGGAATGAGTGTGTCTCTTGCTGCACCAGATGGTCGTGTCTTTGGTGGTGCACTTGCTGGGCTCTTTATAGCCGCTGGTCCTGTTCAGGTAACATAACTTAGAACATTAGGCATTGGTCTCTCTAATGGACTCGAATCTTGTTTTTAAGCATGTGTTATCTTTTTCTCAGTTGATGCTAGGGAGCTTCCCAGTGCGTCAGGAGGAATTATCACAGCAGCAGCAGATGGAGCAGCAGTTGCAGCAGGAGATACAGCAGCAGCTACAGCAGCAGTTGCAGCAGCAGCAGCAGATGCAGATGCAGCTGCAGAAGCACAGAAGGGAAAGACTTGGGATGCATGTAGCAACACAAGCTTCCAACATCTCATTTGGTGGCGGCTCAGTGGATGATCCAAGGACTAGATACGGGATGAACAAGACGATTGTTCTTCCGGCACCACCAGCACCAGTGTCTGCACCACCTGTGTCCCTTTCGAATGTGCCAAGCAACAACTCAGTGCCCCCTGGTTTCTACCCAAACAATGCAGCTAACCATATCAGGGATCTCTTCTCTTCTCACCCTGAAGAAGATGAGGATGAAGATGATGAGGATTTCGATGGCGATGATGATGATGAAGAGTTTGATGACGATAGCGAATCTGACGCCGATGCTCCAAACTGATGATTTGTGTGAGTGAATTTGAAGACTGATGGTTACTTCTTCATCTTGAGTTGTTGCTGCTATGTTGTTTTTCTTTTCTTGGTGCCTTTCTTTAGAGTTTGATTTCCGTTTTTTATTTATACAGAGTTTAATTGTTTTCCTTGAACACCAAACAGAGATTCTCTTACTAAAAAGTTAGGGCTTATTAGAGAGGATGTAATGTTTAGGGTTCTTTGACTTGTTGTTTCTCTCTATCCCCCCAAGTGGGTTGTTGTAGAAGTGCAAAAGTTATTGTGTTCAAACCCTCTCCTTTAATTATCTCTTTAATGACTTCATTTTGAAACTTTACATCTGTGTTTTTGTTTTTAATTCGTCATTAGAGAATCTATCTACATTCTACAACTACTGGATTGTGGATTTATGTAACAGTGTTAGTTGAATTAACGTATCTGTAATACCATTATTGAGATGTAAGTGGATAACATCAACTTAATGTGTTATTTACAAAGTATATCATTAGAACTAATGCAGTTTTAATCAATTCATTAAGGGTAGAATAATCAAACAATTCTTTTAACTAATAAACACACAAAATACAATATATGGATATGTCTGTTTTAAAAAGTGCTATTAGAAACTAACCCTTTCACATTTGTGTGTTTACTTTTCCAGTTTTTTTTTTTTTTTTTTAAAAGCTAGCATTTGTATGCGATTTTTTCCTGTGACAACAATACATTTTTACCATATCTCTACTTATTTTTATTGAACTAGCCTGATTAGATATTTTTAAATATTTCTATGAGTTCAAACTGTCTTTCGACTTCTTAGAATTTAACGACATATATGTACATTTTAGTTTATAAGTATCAACGAGGTTTAATACAAATGTTTGGAGTTTGAGATGTAACTACATTTTTAGTTTTTTTCTATTTTAAAAATTTAATGTAAAAAAATTGACAGTTAAAAAAAAAGACAAAATGTATTTTTACAAAATAAATACGTTAAAATTTTAATTAATATATAAAAATTTCCAAAAGAAAGTTTGAGATGGTTGCTAGGGTTAAAAATGTTCGGATTATGGTTTAGTTTTTATAATTTAGGGGTGTCATATTTTACGTTATTCGATCTAAATTTATTATTTTCTATAATTTTTATTTCTTATTTAGAATTAGATTTCATTATATTTTTTAAATAATATTATGGATCAAAATCGATCGATTACTATTTGTAGAATCATTATCCATTTCTATAAATATAATTGAAGTGTAAACCTAATTATTATTTGGAACTAGCATTATTATGATATAAAAATAATTGAAAAATTAGGGTTTAACTAGTATGTCATCTTAATAGTTGAATAGTGAAATAGTAGAATGAGTAAATAATAAACTAGCGCAATCAATACGATGAGTAAACTAAAAACTGAATAAACTCATAACGTTAAAAGCTAGTATCTGTTAGATAAATAATTTTTTCTCAAAACTAGTTATAAATTTAAACATGCGGGATGAATTAAAAAATAACATGTTAATTTTCACTTTTTATTATTCAGTGCTTAATATTATGAATGATATATATATATATATAGTAGAATCACGTTTTCAAAACGTGAAAAAGCTACATACCAGTTATTTCTCGTTTTCGTTTTGATAAAATAACCCTGCATATAAATTTAATCAACATTATTATGTTAACATCTTTCTCATGTGTGTTACTGAAACATATAAATTTAATCAACATTACTATTTGTGTAAATCATTTTTTTTTTTCACAAGTACGGTTGGAGTGCAAACATGTTTATCATTTCAAACTAACGCTTTCTTTTTAACATCTCGTATTATATATTAAACATCATATAGTCTTTGATTACAAATAAAACCATCCCTTACAAAGCCCAAAGGATGCAAACAACAACATCAAAAACAGTCTGAGCCAACAGAAACAAAGTCTAAACAAAGACTATTAGGCATGTTGAACGATCATAAAACAGAGGTCTACATTTTTCTCATAATCAAACAGATCTTTTAACCAAAAAGGATAACCTAAGGCAACATAAGAATGAACATGATTATCCCAAGAAACACTTTGAACAATGGAAAACGCCTCTCTATTTGAATTTATATGTCCAACAACTACTGACCACTTCTCAATGCGATCTAGAAACTGTATCATTTCACCAATTTGATACTTGTATGACGGCCACTCCTATAGTTTCACAAGTACTCTGAAAAGATCATTTGCCATAGCTTCATATATAATCCTATTCAGCCTATGATTAACCATACTTTCCATCGCCCATAACACACCTTTCAGTGTCGCTTCTTCCCTTAAATTCACTCTTTAAAATCCACGCCTACTATGCATTACCACAAGACCAACATTATTTCTCAAAAACCATGCACGACCTGTCGTTTTCTCTTTCTTATCCCAATTGATACCGATGTTACATTTGAACCAGTTCATCGGAGGAGCTTTCCACTTCACCAGCTCCATCTCTTTATGATTCTTTTCCTGCAATTCTACATTTTGTTCCAATTGTTGAACCAACAGAAAAAGCTCAGCTTCCTTTCTTGTTTTCTAGATTGTATCCGGAGGCATAAACACTTTCCCTTCAAATATAAACCCATTCATCTTTTTCCCTATAGATACCGTAAAATCAATGGAAAGCCGCGTTTTATAGCTTGGTTGATTTTAATGTTATTTACCATCATCAACATATAATGCAAATTAAAAAAGACATAGTTTAGATCAAAACCACCTAAAGATGTGGGAAATTTGATAGAGCTCAGACCTGTCTTGTCAAAGAACAAGTGAAAAGGATATGATTAGTTAATTCACATTCTTCTCCACACACTTGGCATCTCGAGTCAACTTTCATTCCTCTGTGAATAATGTTGTTTGCTACTACTAAATCATCGCTTAAAAACCTCCGTAAAAAAAAATCTCTGATACTTGGAGAAGTTAAAAGAGACCAAACATTTTCTTTAATGCCATTAATTGAGAGTTGCATCATTATATCTTGGAAAATCTCTTTGTTTTTGATTCTAGTCACTACCTAATAAGCCGATTTGACAGAAAATTTTCCACTTTTGTTGTGAATCCAAGACCAAAAATCCTCACTATCCACAACAAGCTTATTTTTTTCCCAATGATTACAACATTATTTGGAAATAAATTCTCATTCAATTTCCTATCATCCCAGTCTCATATTTGAATATCTATCAGATTTTTGACCCTAAGATTCAAGTCCACCAAACAATTTTTTATCCAAGAGACTCTCATACCATTGCTCTCTAACCAATACTTACTCCAAACACGAATGAAAGCACCATTACCAACTCTTTTCCTCAATCCTTTAAGAAATAATGCTCTACCATATATAATATTTTTCCAAGCAAAGGAAGACTTAACACTGATAGAAGATTGAACAAAATCAATATCAGCATAGTATCTGCTTTTCATACCCTCACAAAAAGGGATCATGGACACTGAATAAGTCTCCAAGCTTGTTTTGTCAATAACGCCTGATTGAAGCTTTTAATGTCCTTAAACTCCAAACAGGCACATTTTCTCTCAAGAATTGCACCATAAATCTGCCATAGCTGACATTAGTTTTGCAAGGATGCCTTTTTGGCAGCTTAAAACACGATATTGCATATACATATATGGCTAGGGCTACAGCTTTCAACATAATTTCCTTTCCTCTAAAAGATAGAGTTCGAGCAAACCAACTTGTTACCTTTGAATTTAGCTTTTTATGGATGTAATTAAGCATATCAACTTTAGACCCACTGAAACACTCTGGCAAACGTAAATAAGTTCTCACTCCACCTTCATTATAGATACCCATAATTCCTTGAATTTTTACTTTCATGTCCTACTCCACACTTGAGCCAAAGAAGATGGAAGATTTCTTAACATTCATTTTCTGCCATGTTGCTCTCTTATAAACCTAAACCTTAAGGATTGCAAATAAAACAGTGCTTTGTTCTTTATTAGCTCTGCGAAGGAATAACCTATCATCTGCAAAAAGTAGGTAATGAATAGTCGGACCTAAGAATCCAAATGGAATGCCACTTAACACTTTTGTTTGTTCCGCCTTATTCATCAAATGTGTAAGACCTTTAGTACACATCTATTACTAATAAAAATTGATACTATAGGTCTCTAAAGGTATCCACATAGGATTTAAAGATTCAATTCTATTGGTACACATCATGATCATCTATAGTTAATTATATATTGTTGTTCGGGAGACAATTTCAGGATGTCACGTGGCGGTGTGTGATTCGTCTGGGGAGTAGAGATGTGCCTCCGAGTTTCGTCCTCTGGGGGGAAAGGCGACGAGTTGTTCCAGGGCGGAAGCCTGTTTGAGTCCTGGTAACCGGGTGGTCATCTTACGAGGTCCTGCAAACACTACACAAAAGGTCAATCGGGTCTCCGAGAAGACTGAAGGAGGTTTCCCTCCCGAAGGTTTTCCTACGCCCAAGTCAATGAACACCCTACCGAGAACAAATACTTAGGAGCTACAGGTTTGTGGTGAGAGGTCTCGTCCGGAGATCGATACATCTATCTGTTTGTGAGTGTTTCGAGGAGGTTCCATATGGAAAGGGGGAGGTTCAGCAAGTATAAAGACAAGGTTTTAGGTCGAGAAGAACTTATCCTGGTAGGCATTCTCCCAGGGGAGCAAGGGGTTCTCCCTTGATCATGTTGTTCGGTGGTGCAAGTTGACTCGGTTTGGTTGGATACATCCTCCTTGGGAGGGGTTTGAGATCCGTCGAGCCGATCCCCTTCTGGTGTGGTGGTCTCTCTCCTTTTATACTAGCATTCTCCTTGTCATGTCTTCTCCATTCGGCGCGCCAGGGAAGCATGTGGGCTGATAATTCTTGCGTGTTTGGGGAAGCTCGCCAACTGCCTGGGAACAATACGCGAGAGTGTTTCGGCCAAGCTAAAGTGGCGTGTGTAAGTGTCTAGGATAGTTCAGTGTCAACGTGTCGAGTCCTTTTTGGACCTAGTAAAATCAGTCTCAACAGTTGCCCTCGACTTCTCAACTGATTGAGAAATGAGTCGGGAAGTTGACTTCTCCTCGGTTTCCTGCGCAACAAACATGGGTTATTCGGTTCCTTAAACAGTTTACCATTAAAAGCTAGATGACGCGACGACCT